CGTCTTCCGTTTCCAACGCGAAGCTCGAAAGACACACGAGTTATATTCCGACCCAAAATTAATTAATTCTCCGAACGCTGGCAGCTCTCTATCTGTTTCCGATAAACAAATCTCGTCCTCATTTCACGACAAATTTATTGTTTTGGTATAATTTCAGAAACGCAATTATGTAGATTGAGAACTATTATAGCTGCAAACTGAGAAACTAATTTCCGCTTCCTCTGCAGTAACCATTAATTATGATAAATTTTGGTAATGTAATTTTCATGATGGGTTAGCTTAAACACAATTAATAAATGACTCCATTAATAAATACGAAGCGGTTGAAAAATGCCGTCAATTACACATTGTTTTATTTATTTTTGTAAAATACAAAGGAAAATCAGAAATATGAAATTATAAAAAATTGGTAGAAACGAAGAAGAAGAAGAAGGAGAATAATAAATTAAAATTCAATTTTTCAGATGCTTTATAAAATGTTTATTATTGTTAAATTTGCCTTTACTCCATCGTAATTGGGAATTAGAAGCAGAAAGCGCAGTTGACTTACGCCTGCTTCCCGACCGAAATATGAAATATGGCTGAACTGACAAGAGAAACCATTGTTGTTTCATAACTGGTGACAATTAATCAAACTTTTGGAACATCAATGGGATTACTACTCAGGATTAATTTGCTTCGAGGTCCTACCTTGATCACCCGGTAACCCTGTTAAACTCCAGCTATTATTTCGATCATTAATCACTTTACGATATACATGCTATATATCTATATGCCTCCTTTCAGTCGACCTTTCTCCCCGCGCACGAGGTTCATATATATTCTGACCGCGCTTTGATGCAGAAAGGGGGCTTTAAAACGGCGATGATACATTTTACTTATCTCACAAAGGGGCACCAAAAGTTGGTTGTAAGTAAGCTTTAACGAAATCACGAGATGGGTTTATAAAAATTACACAAAATAAATAATGTTATAAAATTATAAAATGTGTGCACTAAAATGCCAACAAAGCCATTGTGATGGTTTATTTTCGATACCTATCGTATATGATGTGACGGAAGATAAAATAGCTGCCAAAACAAAATATGAAATTAAATTATAAAATAAAACGAGCGCATATGCTGAATAAATATTTTCAATAAAATACTTCGACGCGAGTGTACTTTCATTAAATCAAAAATGATAAGAATTCGCATGATGCAATTAACGAGACACACAATAATAAACGGAAGTATCAAATTGTATGAAATAATCTCGTGTCTGTGTTAAAATTCGCCATCGCGTTAAGGCGTCGTTCCTTTATTTTTTTTTCATAAATACGCGATAACGTCCTCAGATTGTTTTTCGCGCGGATTAAAGCGCCACAGATCGTGCAGCCCCACGTCTCCCGCGGAATATTAAGCTTTATCATAATTACCAGCTATACCGCGGCGATACACCGTCCCGTGTCTCTGCGCTCCGGTTGCGGAGAGACGCCATTAAGGATCTTTATGTCGCGCCATTTTCCACTCATATTTTCCGGGCCCATAATTATCGCGTGAATTAGTCACTCTTCCCCTGCCCCTCGGAGAGGCGCTCATCGTTCATCCCGCGCGTGTTTGCACTCATTCCCGTTATCTCCCTAGATGCTCCTCGTTGTCAAAAAAGAAAAACGG